TTGAATTCATTGTTCCCAGTTGTTTCCTATGTTGATTGTCTTATTAGTTCCAGGTGTCCCTTGTCTTCCCCTCATCAGTTCCTGTGTATTTAAAGTGTGTTCTAGTTCTTGTCCTTTGTCAGTCGTTAAACGTCATTCTGTCGTATCGAGTTCTGTGTTCCCCAGCCTTCGTTTAATAAACCCTTTTGAGTGACTTTACTCTGTGTCTCTTCGTTCCCGTGTTCCTCGTGTGTGTGCACCGTGACAAACTTTAGGTCATGAACGAATGAATTAACATTTCTGCATTTAGCATTGAGAGCATAGGTCGTCATTTAGATATATTTTTAAGATGGAAAAATGCAGTTTTACAAATGTTAGAAACATGACTTTCAAAGAAAAGGTTGCTATCAAATAGCACACCTAGGTTCCTAACTGATGACGAAGAATTGACAGAGCAGCCATCAAGTGCTAGACCGTGTTCTAGATTATTACATGCAGAGGTTTTTGGTCCAATAATTAACACCTCTGTTTTTTTTCAGAATTTAACAGTAGGAAATTACTAGGCATCCAGTTTTTTTTTTGGATTTTGTTAGTTTTGTGAATTGGTACGTTTTGTCGGGCCGCGAAGAAATACAGAGCTGAGAATCATCAACATAACAGTGAAAGCTAACACCATGCAGAGGTTTTTGGTCCAATAATTAACACCTCTGTTTTTTTTTCAGAATTTAACAGTAGGAAATTACTAGGCATCCAGTTTTTTTGGGGGGATTTTGTTAGTTTTGTGAATTGGTACGTTTTGTCGGGCCGCGAAGAAATACAGAGCTGAGAATCATCAACATAACAGTGAAAGCTAACACCATGTTTCCTGATGCTATCTCCCAAGGGTAGCATGTAAAGCGTGAAAAGCAATGGTCCTAGTACTGAGCCTTGTGGTACTCCATACTGCACTTGTGAACATTATGATACTTCTTCATTCACTGCCACGAATTGATGACTGTCAGATAAGTAAGATTTGAACCATGCCAGTGCAATTCCACTAATGCCAGCATAATTTTCTAGTCTATTCAAAAAATGTTGTTGTCGATAGTGTTGAACGCAGTGCTAAGATTCAGTAGCACTAATAGAGAGATACAACCATGACTGGACAATAAGAGCAAGTCATTTGTAACTGTAATGAGAGCAGTCTCTGTACCATGATACGGTCTAAATCCTGACTGGAAATCCTCACAGATACCATTTTTCTCTAAGAAAGAACATAGTTGTGAGGAGACTACCTTTTCTAGTATCTTGGACAGAAAATGGAGATTTGAGATCGGTCTGTAATTAACTAATTCTCCAGGAACAAGTTGTGGATTTTAAGGCTTAATAACAGCCAGTTTTAAAGTTTTTGGAACATTAGCAGTAATGATATTCAGAAGAGGATATATGACCTCTGGATGCACCTCTTTTAGTAGCTTATATGGTATAGGATCTTACATACATGTTGTCGGTTTAGATTATTTGACAAGTTTACACAAATTCTACCATATTTGTAACAAGAGTTGCATTTGCAGCTTTAGCTAATGGAGTACACACTAGACTAGATAATGATCTGAGAAGTTTTAAAGTTTTTGGAACATTAGCAGTAATGATATTCAGAAGAGGATCTATGACCTCTGGATGCACCTCTTTTAGTAGCTTATATGGTATAGGATCTTACATACATGTTGTCGGTTTAGATTATTTGACAAGTTTACACAAATTCTACCATATTTGTAACAAGAGTTGAATTTGCAGCTTTAGCTAATGGAGTACACACTAGACTAGATAATGATCTGAGATATCAACGCTCTGCTGCAGAATTTCAATTCCATCTATATCAATTCCATGTAATAGTATTAAATCTAAAGTATGATTATGACAGCAGGTCCTGATGCATGTTGTCTAACCCAATAGAGTTTAGAATGTCTATAAAATGCTGATCCCAATGCATCTTTTTCATTATCTACATGGATATTAAAATCACCAACAATTAAGACTTTATCTGCAGCAAGCACTAGCTCAGATAGAAAATAAACAAATTCTTTGATTAAGTCTGTATGGTGCCCTGGTAGTATGTATACGGTAGCGGTAATGTTATATAAAGCACCATTACTTGAAATTAATTATACTTGAAACCAGACCTCTGAGAAATAGCTACTGAAAATATTACTATAAATTGTAGCAACACCTCCCCCTTTAGTTTTTGAACGCAGCTCATGTTTATAACAGTAATCTTGGGGTTAGACTCATTTAAAATAATGTAATCATCTGGTTTTAGCCAGGTTTCTATCAAACAGAGCACATCTAGGTTATGATCTGTGATCATTTACAAAAAGCACTTTCGTAGAATGGGATCTAATATTCATTAAGCCAAGCTTTATCATTTGTTTGTCTGTATTATATCTGTTTTTTAATTAAATATTACATTGTAATACCCTTAAATTTGTTTGGACGTTTTTTGTATTTGCTAGTTCGGGGAACAGACACAGTCTCTATAGTGTGATATCTAGGCGAAAGAGTCTCTATGTGCTGAGAATTAACTGACTTCTGTGATGTGAGGCGGCTAGCAGATGGTTGGTTTAGCCAGTCTGCTTTCTCACCTTGGTTAGTCAGGTACAAATTCTAAGACTATGTGCCATATTTCTAGAGAGAAGAGCGGCACCACCCCTGGAGGGATGAAGACCTCTTTTCAACAGTTCAGGTCTGCCCCAAAAACTTGTCCAATTGTCTATGAAACCTATGTTATTCTGCGGGCACCACTTAGGCATCCAGCCATTGAGTGATGACAGTCTGCTATGTATCTCATCGCCACAGTAAGCAGAGAGGGGACCAGAGCATATTACCGTGTCTGACATCATACTTGCAAGTTCACACACCTCTTTAATGTTATTTTTAGTGATCTCTGACTGGCGAAGTCTAACATCATTAGTGCCGATGTGAATAACAATCTTATTGAATTTAAGTTTTTTCATTAGCCAGCACTTTTATATTTGCCAAGATGTCAGGAACCAAACAATGGGCCTCATTCATGAAACATTCGTAAATATAGGAGTAAATTTGCGCGTAAAACGGACCTTCCCGAAAACTCTCCTCCGGATTCACAAATGCTTCGTAAACTTCCGATTTGATAGTTAAACATGTGTATGTTAATGAATTCCAATCATTCGTAATCGTTCTTAAAACGAGTTGGTGGCGCTTGAGAATTCTTTGGTGGCACAGCGTTTTTCCAGCTGTCAATTTGGTTGCTATGATGTGGAATATCCACGGCAGTACATTTTGAAGAATATTACTAAATATAAAAATGCAGTAACCAGCAATGTTAACTTCTCTGTTGTTCAGTTGGTCAAGTAGGATGATTGATCGGTGTAGTATTTGTCCCGCCTCTTGTCCACTGATTGGACGGCTGGGTAAAAAGTGACAGTGACAAGTGCTGCATTTCACCCAAAGCTAAACATTTTATCAACTCTCAGCTACAAAAAAAAAAACAAAAAACGAGTACAATAATAACGTACAATATTATGATGGCAGTGCATCAAAATTCAGTGTCATCAGTTTGCCAAAAAGAACATAGAATGTTTTACGCACCATTTACACATGACAGGGAGCAGGTGTAAATTTATTTGGTACCAACTAACATTTTGAAAATATGAACACTTTCATGAATCTGAAAATTTACGTCAGAACAGCTTTACGAACGATTTACACAAACATTTATTCTGCTCGTGTTTCATGAATGAGGCCCAATAAACGGGACTCACTAAGCTAGTCACATCCAAAGCAGTATCTAAGGCCCTCACATTCTTATACTATCCTCAATTAAATTTTGGATGCATGTCTCTAGTTCTGAAATCTTCTCTGTCAGCCTAACTATTTCCCTGCATTTATCACATGTGAATCCCTGGCCGCTGACAGAGAAGGCTACACTATACATGTGACAAGCAGTGCAAGTGACAATAATAGGAGAAGAAGCCATTACTCACGGTGATTGATGAATAAATCCAACTTAACACAGTTGTTTGATGAAGTTGTGAAAAACGGAGCGAGAGTAGTAGTGACAGATCATTTATAACAATTGAAATGTACATACATGCTGTGAAATTAAACACTGTTTAAGCAATAAACATTCACTAGCATATTTGAAAAAAAAACTGAGCATTATTCATTGAAGTTGTTTTTAAAACTGACATTGAAGTTGTGAAAAACGGAGCGAGAGTAGTAGTGACAGATCATTTATAACAATTGAAATGTACATACATGCTGTGAAATTAAACACTGTTTAAGCAATAAACATTCACTAGCATATTTGAAAAAAAACTGAGCATTATTCATTGAAGTTGTTTTTAAAACTGACATAAAAAAACTAACTCTTCCATTAAATTACCAGTTACCACCATGCCTAATGTCACTATAACATTTACTAAGTAAACCTGCAGTTATTAAACATACAATTCAGAAGATAATTTAATCAATGATCTCTACTATTTGAGAGATTTAATGCCATCAAAGCTGTGATAATTAAGTCTTCTGTCTGCGATGAGCAAGAAGTATGTCATTTCTGCAGACGTTTACACAGCAGCAAACTCCTTACCTAAGGGAGATCCATTGCCTGTTCTGAAATACAAACCCCAACAACCACTCCCTCCTCCCACTGTTCAGCACTGCCAGAGTCAGCAATTTGCGTTAGAGAAACTTCACTCTTCTACTTCAGCATCCCTGCAACTTCAGTCATGAGTGTGCTTCACTTCTCAACCCTTCTGGGTAGGTCATCACTTTTTCCATTTTGTTTAGTTTGTTTGCATGCTTCTTTGCATTTGTGCAAGTTTAATTTCTTGCATCCTTGCATCAACGTAGACTTATTCGTTGCTGAATTGACTTTTTTCCCACATTTATGCCCACTAACAGAGTACTTAAATATTCTTAAAGTCTTGCTAAAGTGTAGTGTTTATCTGCCGTTATGTCATCCTCAGCAGTCGCACTTCTAGCGCGGGCTCAGACGCAGCTTTTGCGGGGCTCTTGTAGTTTTGAGACAGACAGCTGCGGATACACGTCTGATCCCACTTTTGCTGCCTGGACCATCAACGAGGAAGGTATGAGAAACTTTCTTATTATTTAGGGCTTCAGGCACCTTTATTTGTAGTACTGTTTTGCTAGTTATTCTTTTTCTGCCCTAAAAGTGTCTGGTTGTCAGAGAGCGTCAGTTGTAGAACCTGCAGAGTAGCATACAATGAGTCTGTGCTCAAAGGCTGTTCTGTAAATTGGGGCAGTTCCAACATTGCAAGGACAGTCTGGCGCTTCTGACTCTGATGACTGATTCAAACGCGAGTAGCGCTTGTTGTTTGTCGTTTCTCTGATCACAAATGCAGACATGGTTTTATGTTTACGCGGCGCGATACGCAACGCAACGCATAACAAACACAGTATAAGTCATTATAATCAGTAATTATGTCCCCATTGGTTGCAACAAATGGCTCGTTTGTAATGGGTTTTATTGGTGTTGTCACAGTATGGTAGGGGCGTAACATTTCCGTCACACGCTTGAGGTATTCAACCAATCACAACGCACTGGATAGCTGGCCAATCAGCGTACACCTCGATTTCAGAACGATGAGCTTTGTAAAAATTGACATGTTTCAGAAAGGCGGAGCATAGAGGAGCAACAATAATGTAGAAGAGCAACAATAATGTACATTATGTGGAAAATAATGTGTTTTTTAAACCTTAAACCGCATAAACACATTGCATTACACCAAATACACAACATAATGTTATTTTTAGCAACATCACATGTGCCCTTTAAACTACTCATCTATTTAACTGGAAACAAAGTTTTGCACATTTGAGACCATATTGTTAATGAATTAACTTTAAAAGGCTTTGCTACTGTAGTTACAGAAACATGCTGAGTTTCCTGGAACCTTTTTACGGTGTGTTATAATCCATGTAGGTCACTGACGTCAGCTCTTCCTCCCTTTAGTTATATTGTGGTTGTGAAGTATGTTGCCCTATGCTAGTTTTTAATGTTCAACTGTATGTTGAACTTGTGACTATGCTAATACACTGAGGGTGGGTGTTGTTAACACTCTGCTTTGTGGTAATTGTGAATCATTCCACAAAATGGGGACTAAAGTCAATAGACCTTACCAAAGACGCGACTTCACCTACCTCAGAAGCTGATGTTGTGGCCAGAGAGGAGGGATATTAACAACTGGTATTCGTTCATGGACTAAATATATGAGATCTCAAAAGAGGGCTAAACCAAAGTGTAGAAAATGAGTGTGTTTTTACAAGAGGGCATGAACAGAGAAGAAAAAAGGGATAATTTTCATCTGGCACCTGGAATGAATCATCATGAGAACATCTGGAGCTATCAGAGATCAGTGAAGCTAAAGGCAGCAAGCACACTCTTACATCATGTCGAGGTTTGATGCATATTAAACAAGAGTAAATTGGATACGTTCACAACATATATGATTACTTTATGTCTGACAGCTGATATTTCTTCTTTAATAAACTGTTTAAATGTGAACCTAACCTATTTCTGTGCTCTAAAAACAGTCAGAAGATTAAATGGACTGTTAAATTAACACTTGAGTCTCCCATGAGTCTTTGTTAGCTGTGATTGCATGCCCTTTATTTTGGAGAACCTGACAGATAACACCTGTTTTCTGACACAGTTTAAAATGGTGAAACAGTCGACCATTTACAATGAAAATAACAGAACTGAATGTTTAAACAATCATAAACCATACATTTCTTTTAAGTGTTTTTGTGCTGTTCTTAAACTTGTGACATAATGCACAAATGTTCTCACCAGTATTGAAATGATGCCTCTTCTGATTCTTTCAGGCCGCTTCATTACAGCAGATTCCTCATATTTTGGTGAGAACAAAAAGTATGTCCTGGTCAGCCCGGAGCTGGAGCTCAGAGACTGGAGCTGTGTGCGGTTGGTCTATCAGATCTCAGGCTCAGGCTCTCTTCAACTGCACTTACGACCTGAGGGTGAGAACTTTGACTACACGTTATGGACTGCAGAGAAACCCTCAGACAGTTGGCTCATTGCCAGCGTGGACCTCCGTAATATGACTGGGGCTAACCAGGTATCTGCCTGACATGGCACAATCACTTCTGTGTTTAAATGCAAAGTGGGAAAACAAGGGGGTTGTGTATGTGATATAATGTAGTCAAGACTATTCATAGTTTGCTAGAGGACTGTTAGCTTAAAAGAGCATTTGAGTGGAGCTGAGTGAATAAAAGAGCCCTTTATAAATACTACAGTGGATACGCCTTGATCAGACAAGCATTTGTGCTATTTTACTACACTTATAGTAATGCTGTGTTTCTGGGAATTACATTTGGAAAGACAGACTGAGAGTAATAATTGGCCTTTGCAAACAAAGGAATAGAGATTGACTTTGTTTAATAACAAATGTTGTGAATTATGATCGGAAAGAAAGTAAATCCATTATGCTAGTTTTGACTTGAGGCGTATGATGTAAACCTTCTGATATTATATTTACTCTAAAAGTAGACTGTGTGTAAAACTAAAGCTGTGTTTGATTTGGAGAGTTACTGAAAGAGAGTGAGCATGAGTTAGATAGGTAGTTTTCTAGGCTTTAGATATTAAAATAAATGTTTCTGTCAGCTGAACAGATGGCAGTTGGTGCATATTTAACTATGTTACAGCCCAAACAGTTTAACTTCTCTTTGTTTATTACCTCTTGACATTCAGCTATTATTTAAGGCTAAAACAAGCAGAGGAATGGGAAATAGCATTGCACTTTTTGAAATACACATCATCCCTGGATACTGCCTAGGTAAGTCCTCTCTTTTATACTTGGGGTACAATGTATGTATTATTGATCTCAGCATTTGTTGCGTGCCTGCTTATCCAATAATCTCAACAAGCTTTGTGCTTTGTTACTTTTGATAAGAAACAAAGTCTAGGGTTTCAAATTCTGTCTTGTTGCTTTGTTGCTTTGACACTCTTTAATGTGACATGACAGATCACTATAACAATTATTCTTCACTACTAGTTACAGCACAAAATAAACATGAATAAACATCAGGAGGTATGTTGAAAGAAACAGTAAAACTTAATGAAATTTATCATGTTGGTTGTAAATGCTCAATCAGTGTTTCAAACGCAAAAGAGTCATACATATAAAAGCTTGTAAACAACGTCACATAAGGTTACATTTACCTCAGGAAAGCCATTTAATGTCCATAAACACGTTAATTAACTAGAAAAAAATAACTAGAGATGAACGTTTTGCTACATATGTGCATTATATTACATATTCATATTATTTAACCTGTTAGTGATGTCTTATTTAATGTATTTTTGAATGTTTAAATGTTTAAATATCAACAAAGAATTGGAGTAGAAACATAATTATTTCATTAAATATAAAAACTTGTGTGCCTTTTGTGCAATTTAAATGATTGTATACAACTCATTATATCAAAAAATAGATAGCAATTTAATAGTTTGGAATCTGTTGTTAATTTTAAGCTTTTGCATTCTAGTAATGTGCCAGCTGACAGGGTTCCCTGTAGTTTACAGCTTTAATTGAGAGATTTTTTTAGAGTACTGATATATAACCAAATGAATCAATACTGAGTCGAGATCAGAATCGAATCAAATCATGATCAGAATTAAATTTTTATTTGCTCAAAATCTCGAATGAATCTGGCGCGCGCACACACACACACACACACACACACACTCATCTGAAAAGAAGAAACTTCATACAATCCTCATTGGTTCTCATGTCTGTGGTCAACAATGTATGTACCTTGCAATACTTTGAGAACCTCCAAGAAAAAAAATGAGGGGAACAAGACCAGAATAATATTACCCTCACACAAAAAAAAGAACCCTTCCAAACTTTTAAAACCCCCCCCCCCCCCCAAAAAAAACAACAACAATTAAAAGTCTTAAATAATAACAATACTGTGTAATGTCTGTTTTAGAGTGTAACTTTGAGGAGCATCACTTGTGTGGCTACAGTAATCAGTGGAATCCCAATGTGAACTGGTATGTGGGTGGGAGTTTGGCAAGGGACCCTCAGTCAAATCTTCCAGATGACCACACCATGAACAATGAGAGAGGTAATACAGACTGACAGGATAGCTTCATACTGCACAATAGGTCAAGAGCTGGAATGAATCATACCAGGCTCTCCAAAGAGACCATAGTTTTTCTCAACCCACAATTCTCCTGAATTGGAACGTGCTTACTGTCTCACACTGAGGAATGTGCTTGTGAATCCATCCTTTGTTCTATTTTTCCACTTTGAACTAGGTCACTACATGTATGTAGACTCAGTTTATGCTAAAAGGTTCCAGGAGGTGGCCAAGTTGGTGTCGCCAATGACTATCACTTCAATGGCAGGATGCTTGTCCTTTTACTATCAAAGGGACCAAGCTGTTGGGAATTTCTTCTCAGTCTTTACTAAGGACCAGCTGGGCCAATATGAAGAGATATGGAGGCCTGATGTGTATGCAACAACAAACTGGAAGTTAGTGCAAGTGGATATTAAAGCACCACATTCTTTAGAGGTGAGTGAAGTTATTCTACAAATTTTTTGTCCCTGTACCACTGCACTATACAGTTTCAAGAAAACTGGTAGTGCTTGGGGCCACAGCACATTAGCGAGCCCATAAAATCACTACTTCAAATGTCTTCACTTCTAATACAAACAATTGAAAAAAGTAATCTTTAGTTTGCTTTTCACAACAGTGAACCATCTATCCATCTGTCTGTCTATCTCCATCCATCCATCCATCCATCCACCCACCCACCCACCCATCTATCTATCTATCTACAAATAAACAAATTAAACTGATACAAATCAAACTGTTACAAATGATGGCTTGTCCAACTTATACTGTCTCCTAGGCTAATATTCATGTTCCTTATATAACGTTAAACATTAACAAGGAAAAAAATCAAGAAATGTAATAAAAAAAATCCTAAAATGGCCATTTGATGTTAATAGAATAGTGTACATATTAAGTAAAAAAAAAAATTAAAGATAAAAAAATAGAAAATGCATGCATGTCAAATGCATTGTGTTTCCATTAGAAAATAACAATCCATTTTAAACAAATCTGATACCCAACTTGCTGTCAATTTAAAATTATCTCATAAATAATTAGAATAAAATGCAAGTATTTTAGTCTTAGATAGGACATGCACAGGAGACCTTTTCTTTACATCTTGCTCATGTGCTGTTCTACAGGTCATAGCACATGCATGCATGCAGTCAGGGGCGTAGCCATCATTTCAGAAGTGAGGGGGACAGAAA